ACAAATTAAATCTTAAATAAAAATTTAATTTATGCCAGAAAATTGTTAAACAAAATCTGTGTAATTAAAAAAGGGTCATATTCAGATTAATTTATGAGATATAGTTTTACCTATATATCTAAAGAAACCATTAGCTACCCATGATGTGATTTTTGTTATAAAGTACTAAGAATAGAAAATATGAAACCCTCAAAACTTGCTATTCGCTTGAATAAATTTCATCCTGATCTTTGAACAAAAGGTACTGATTTTTTCAAAAGAAAATTTGAATCACTAAAGAGTTGGACAAAACTTATTCACCAATTATTCACCAAACTTAACAAAATTAGTAGAAGCATCTAACTGAAGAAGTTATACTTCCATGTACAAAAGAAATTGTTAGATTATTATTTGGAGATGAAGCTGATATTATGGAAATTTTAAAACTGTTTTTCAATGACAATCAACTACAATGGAAATATTTATTTGGAATTGCTACTAAAGAAGCTCCTGCAATGATAGGTTGTAAGTCCGGATTGCAGACTAGGGTGAAAGAGGTTGCTCTAAATATAGTTGGTGTACACTATTTCATAGACAGGCTTTAGCAACCAAAACTTTACCAGGTAGTTTGAAAGCTGTGTTTAATCAATTAGTCAAGTTAGTCAATCATAAATCTTCTGTTCTTAACGTTCAATTTTTTACAAAATTTTGCTCTGACCTAAATGCTTAACAAAATAAGTTATTGTTTTATACTTCAGTGTGATGGATATCTGCTGAACACAATAAGTTATTGTTTTATACTTCAGTGCAATAGCTATCTGCTGGAAATTTTTTGGAAAGAATTTTCAAGCTTAGAAATGAAGTGAATGAATTTTAATGTCAAATAAAAAGTGTACTGGTAGAATATTTTGAACTTGACAATTTTGAAATAACAACTGCTTATCTTTTGGGCATTGTGCGCCATTTAAACAAGTTAAACTTGCAACTTTATGGGAAAAATGCTGACGCCATTACACACTCGGATAAACTGAAGGCATTAATGAGAAGCTCAACTTGGAACTAATAATGAAAATTTGATCATGTTTCAAAATATAAATAGTGTAATTTGAAATAACATGCTTCCTGAAGTTATTAAGACAGAAATTTTTTGTCATCTAGATTAAATTTGGTTAATGAACTTGGTAACTATTACCCCGATGAACCTTTTAAGCAGTGAAGTTATTATGTCACCATTTTCTTGTGATGTGAAAAAAGTAAAAAAGGAGACACAACAGAAGAATTTATAATGCTAAAGAATGATACCACAGCTAAGGATCACTTCAAAATAACACCATTAAATAACTTCTGGTTGTAAATGAGAAATTCATATCCATTATGTTCATCAATTGCAAAGCCCTTATTCCTTTTTAAACATCTTATTTGCGTGAAGCCGGGTTTTCAACCATACTATCTCAAAACTAAATAAAAGAAATAGAATCGATATCAATGCCGATGTGCTCTATCAAAAACTAAACCCAATTTTCAGATATTAATTGCTGGTAAGCAGTGCCAGAATTCACATTGACCAATTTTTGTATCATATATTAAAAGAAATATAAAATATTTTTGTATCATTGATACTCTAGTCTATTCAAAATAACCTTTAATAAGATATTATCCTAATGAATAAAAATTACATTATTAAAATATTCACCTTGTAATAATTTTTAAAGCAAAGAGTCCATGGAGATTTTATAATATATAATTTGGAAACCACTGCCGTATAGTAATAATAAAAAAGAAGTTAAATAATATTTAATTCGTTTTGCGATAATTAATATTATTTTAGTAATTTAAAAAAGTTAATGTCTTTAAAAAATAAAAATATTTTTATGACGTCAAATTCACATTAGGCTATTGCATTAGGCATTTTTTATTTGAAACATTCTTACTACTTTACTACCAATAGCAATAGTTTGAGAGCTACGTGGAAGGGTATTAGAGCTCTTAAATATATGTTCGGATGATATCTCATATATTCCTTTTTTATTTCAATCCCTGAAGAACTGCAAAATAATATGCATTCATCCCTACTGACTTCCATAAGTATTTAAAAACATCAAACCCTGACTCTCTTTTTAATAAACCTACTGAAAAAAAGGAAATAATATCAGTTATTCTTTCTGTAAACAATGGCAAGGTTTCTGATTCAAACAGCGTTCCAACCTTTATTTTTTGCTAACGTTATTTCTCAAACTTTTTGCTAATGTTATTTCTTCAGTGCTTTCTAAACTATTTTATCAGTTAATTAATTAAACCAATCTATAAAAAGGACTCAAACTAATTAGTTAAACCAATCTATAAAACTTGACTGCAATAACTATAGACCAATATCATTATTATCAAATATCAGCAAAATTCATGAAAAATTAATTAATGTAAAAATTAAAGATATTGCCATAAAAGTTTAATTTAGTAGCTTGAATGATGATTTTTTAAGTATTTCCCAAAAAAACCTAAAAAAAATAAACCCCTGTGTTTTCTTTTTCTTTTAAAAACAATCAAAAAAACAAGACCAAAAAAAAATAAGTCCCATCTCTAGGCAGGTAGTACAGGGTTACATGATACCAGTAACATAATGATTGTAATGATCCTGAATCTGACCTGACCTGGAGTAGTTAAAAGAAGTTACTTCCTGTAAGTCTTTTAAAACATGGAATATTTTGTGGGTGTGTGTGGGAATATTTTGAAAATGCATTTAGAAAAAAATTTCATCTAACAGAATACTATATATCAAGGTGAGCGTAGGTCTTATAGTTAGAGTCACAAGTTGGTTACTGAGTTCACACTGCATCAGAGATTTGAGCAGAACACAAACATACATAAAGTAACTTATGGTTGAATTAAGAATGAAAGCAAACATACATAATAGTTGTATTACATAATATATAATACTTGATTTAGTTAGTTTTTAAATAAACAAATTAAAAATATGTGTGTTTTGGCTGTTATTTTTGATGTCATAAGTTTATTATTGTTTTTTCATTAATTTTTGCAATATGATAAATTGACCCTATAATTAAAACAGTGTTCACTGTTTTTAATAATCTAAGAATTTGAAAAACAGAATTATAAATATTTTTTTCTAATGTAAAGTCTTTAAATTTACCGTTAGTGTTAAAAAATAGTTCTTAATGACTCTTTGTCTTTAAAAAGAACAAAATTAAGTACACTTGATGTAAAAACCATTAAATTTAATCAAGGAAACTAATCAAATGTTATCAATTTTTAAAAAACTACTAAAATGCAACTAAAATTTTTTTTTTACTTACTTAAATCGACTGACAAATAGGTAGAACATGCAATAAGAATTTTCTTGATAAGTGAAGCTCATTCCATTCAAAACTAGTGTAACATTAATTTTAGAAATTTGATTTGACCGTTGATATTATTAAGAGATAATTTTATAAAATTATCTAAAATGTTTTATTAAGACACACACATATTTATAAATATTAAGTGTTTATTTATCACCGTTACAAAATTGAATACTTCTAGTTTGTTTTTTTGTAATAGTTCAGTATATTTTGTGATATTAACTAAAATGATAATTATTTTTCACTGATTTCGTTCTTAGTTTTTCTGTTTGAACTACTTTTTAAAAATGATATGATCATTTTTTTTTTTTTTTGTCATATACTTTGTATACTCAATTATTTTCAGGTTTGACCTGATCAATAGTTTACAGGTTTTGATTTTTTGATATTCTATATTAATAATTAACCTCACTATTTCTTTGTTTTACGCCAAATGTTTTCCATGTATAAAGTTTCCATGTATACACACTTGTATTATGTAAAAGTGCATTTGTTATCAGTAAACATGCAGTATTTTATTCTTTCAACTAACTTGTTGAAAGAATAAAATACTTTTGTCTTTCCGAACTAGCCCTAACGGTGGGGTTCGTGGAACACTTTTTTGAAGCACTTTAATCTAAAAGATATATTAAAAAATATATTAAGATATTAAAAGCTACCTAAGTTTAATCATTGTGAATATTGTGTACTTGAGTATTTGGGCAATAGTTTTTTTTTTTTTTTTTAAATTGCATTTTGGCTATAAATTCAGAAATAAAAAAAACATTCCAACTAACCTGGGTCACCCCTATAACTAGAAATAAGGTAATCCACTGATAATGATAATATGTTTTATTTTGAAATGTTTCGTCTATTTTAAGAAGTTTTTTCTATTTTTCTATTTAATGTTGAATAAAGATCAAGATTAAATTGATTAGTTTATATAGTGGGGAAAATTAATAAAGAAATATATATATATATTTCTTAATAAAGAAATATATATATATATATATATATATATATATATATATATATATATATATATATATATATATATATATATATATATATATATATATATATATATATATATATATTTAAATATTTAAAAACTATTACTCAAAGAAAAGGCATTTTACAGAGCACCCACATTATAATACATTTTCAATAGTTTGCAATAGTTTATAACAAAATATTTTAGTTAATTTTCAGAAGAATGCTATTTTTCAGATATCAATGTAAAACATTTTTTGGTCCATACTAGAAGGGAAAGTATACAAGAACAGTTGAAAGCTAATGAAGTTACATCATTAACTTTGTCTAAAAAATGCCTTTCTTATTTTGATAAAACAACAGTACAGGGATAAATTAAAATATTAAAATGATTTTTTTAAATGTGAAAAATATTATTAAAATTAAACAAAATTTACTCTGAATTGAACATATTAAAGGAATAATGGCTTTTTAAAGTTTATGCAAAAATATAGTTAACATCTATCGATAGAAAAAAACTTAGTGAACACCAGTTAATGTAATTAAGATTTTAATGTTTAGCTTAAAAATTATTTAGTTTATTGGAAAACAATTTTAAAACAACAGAGGTAGAAAAAATGTTTTAAAATATTTTCTTCGAACTACATGTTGAGGAATAAACATTATATTGTAATTGTCTAATTAATATTTAAGATGGTAAGCCTGAATACATCAATGTGAAATCCACTGAAGATTCTCAAGTAGGATATAATGCCAAGCATAAAGAAAGTCAACATGTCAAATTAAAACAATCCTTTTCTCAAGAAAATGTCCCATTTACTGTTTTCAAAGGTATAAATTATACATTTATTTAAAAAGAAATCTTTTATGCTTTATTAAAATATTTAGCTTTGCTGTTGTAATGCTGTTGTTTTTCATTTTTTTTTTCTTTGTTTAAATATTATAAGCTCTATTATAAAAAAGAAAAGGCAAATGTTAATATTGATGGTTAATCAGGTATATAAATATATACTATATATAAATATATAGTATATATACTATATATGTATATATAAACATATATGTTTTTATTTATGTTTTTTATACATATATAAATATTTATATACAAAAATTTAATGTAATAGCAATATATGTAAATATTTATATATATATATATATATATATATATATATATATATATATATATATATATATATATATATATATATATATATATATATATATATATGTATGTATATATATATGTATGTATATATATATATATATATATATATATATATATATATATATATATATATATATATATATATATATGTATATACACTTACTAAAGCGTGTTTTGATAAGCATTTGCTCACTTTTTCTGCTTACCTTAAGCTATACCGTTTTTTTGAAAAAGAAGAAGAAAAAATGAAGAATGATGAATGAAACGACTGAGGGTTTGGGATGGGGAATCCCCATCCCAAACCCTCAGTCGATGTAGCAGCACTCCACTGCGAGTCAGGCTATTTGTCAGTCAATGTATGTACTGAAGCCCCCAGCAGCAGGCTATTTCAGTATGACGTCAGATTGCTTACCTTAGTACGCAATAGTATTTGTATATATATGTATATATATATATATATATATATATATATATATATATATATATATATGTATATATATATATATATATATATATGTATATATATATATATATGTATATATATATATATATATATATATATATATATATATATATATATATATATATATATATATATATGTATGTATATATATATATATATATATATATATATATATATATATATATTAATGGCATTATGGGCAGTAGTGTTAAGTACAACATTTGGTCAAATTGAGAAAAGAGAGAGAAGCAACACCATGACGATGTGATAATGGTTGAAGGTTGACTGCAAGAGCAGGTCCAACTATGTTTACAATGCGTTTTTGCACTTTGTCTAAAAGAGAAAGGGCATCTTTAGAAGATCCGCCCAGATATGGCAACAGTATTCCATACAAGGCCGGATTTGAGATTTGTAGAGATAGAGAATAGAATCCAGAGTAAGAAAGTTTCAAGCTTGATAAAAAGATGCAACTTTAGCAGATGCTAATTTTGCAACAGATTTAATATATGGTTTCCAAGAGAGATCAAAAGTAAGAGTTAATTCTAGAAGATAAAGCGTGACTCATTGAGTACATTATACCATTAAATAAATAAATATAGGAAGGTCTAAATAATTACAATAACGAATGGCTGAAAAAAATTTAGTTTATCTGAATTAAAGTTCACCAGCCACTGTGAGCCACATGCTGTAGCAGAAGTGAGATCCTTTTCAAGCTCAAATGCCCATTCCATGCAATTAGAGAGAGTTGGCTTCTTATCCTGACAAGAATAAATGGTAGTATCATCAGCAAACAATGCTACCTTAGATTTGAGAATATCTGGAAGATCGTTAATGTAAATGAAAAAGAGTATAGGGTCAAGGGTTGAACCTTGAGAAACTCCTGAGGTTACAGAATAAGAAGAAGAGTGCTATCCATCAAGGACAACCTTTATACTGCGATTGGAAAGGAAGAATTCAATAATCTTAAAGATGTTACCAGATACACCGTAAAAAGAAAGCTTATGGAGAAAACCAGCATGCCTAACTTTATCAAACGCTTTAGAAATGTCAAGAGCGATGGCCTTAACCTCTCCACCTTAATCTTATGCACAATAAAACCTATCGGTTATTACTGTTAGCAAATCAGCCGAAGAACGAGAAGATCGAAATCCATATTGATGATCAGGAAGTAAGTTATTAGATTCAAGATGAGAGATTAAGTGTTTGTTAATTAAAGATTCAAAAACCTTGCTTATGATAGGAAGAAGACTAATGGGACTATAGTTAGACAAATCAGATTGCTCTCCAGAATTTTTAAAAATAGGTTTAACAAATCCTGCTTTACAGCAGGCTAGAAAACAAGACTCTGATAAGCACTTGTTAAATAGTTTTAAAAGGATAGTCGACAACTCCGGAGAACGCTTCTGCAAGCCTATAATAGGTATGTTGTCTGGGCCACAAGCTGTAGAAGAGTCTAAGCAGGAAATCACTTTAAATACAGAAGTTGGAGTGATACGAATGTCAAGCAATGGATGAGGGCTATATCAGGTAGAGCACAACTAGTGGAATCAAGAGATGAAAAGTTGATGTAAAGTTCTTAGAAAATAATTCAGCTTTGTCTTTCGGTGAGGTGACAAGGTCTGAACCATACAAAAGTGGTAGAATTACAGACTTGCTCTTATTGAAATATGAGATTTCATGACCTGAGCATAGCGGGCTTTAGGGTTTCTTGAACCGAAAAGTCTTTTTATCTTGTAATTCTTAAAAATAAACAATTACCAGTTCAATAAATTCCCAAGAATCATCTTTTGGTAATGTATTTTTTTTGTAGACAATTGCTGACCCATTTCAAGACAAGTTTTGCTTGATAATTGATTTGGTTATCTCCGTCTGCAGGAGTTTTAAACTGAATAATACCTTTTTTTTGTCAAAAATTGAGTATCAGTTATCCTGAAGTGTTTTAATTAGCGGCTCAGATGGCCCACTATGGTTTCCGATAACTGCGTCCCAGACGTGTTTAATGTGTAGCTCATATGGTGTTGACAAGATGCATAAAATTGCACAACCGATATACTTCTCTATTGAAGTTGCACATCCTGCTTTACAGCCAATGTTACTAGTTGTAGTGTCAAAGCAAAAAGCAATTAAATCATCAAGTAGCTTCCATGATTTAAAATGTTTGATAAATTAATCTTTTTGGGCTATATCAGTGGCATTTGGGGTTGTAGGAATCCCGAGAACTTTGGGATTTGAATCTTCAGCCAAACCATCCCATCCACTTGCAAAGATGACAACATGTTCTTCTTCCCTGTAAGAAAAAAAAATTAAAATAAAAGTTATCATAAGAATATTATTCTATGTAATTAAGTAATGTTTGAATAGTTTTACTGTTAAACAATGAAACAAGTTTGCTATCACAGTGACTGCATGGATGAAGTGGACGGTTGCATTCATAATTATATTTTAATTGATGAAATTGACTTTCTCTTTCTTTCTTTTGTTAACGATGAACATTTGATTTTTAAATAGCAAACTGTGTCAAGAGGAGTGCAAACAGCTTTAAGTATTTTTGCTTCAATATCCATTGTGCTTCTAACTCTTAGGTGTAAGCGATCAGAATCTTCAGTAAACTATTTAGTTAGTATCTTTGGATTCAACTAAGAAATGGGGGCTGGGGATCCTTTTTTTTTTATGGTGACATTGGTTAAAACTCATCATCTTAGCTTTTTGTGTTTTCATCATCCTCGCTAAGAACTTTTTTTTAACTTCTTCACTCTTAATAATATCTTGTTTTAGATAAATTATCATGCCCTGCTCTCTGCTGTTCAAGATGTTCAGTAAAATCGTTTATTTTTTTCTCTCTTTAGTTTAAAATAGTATCTTAACCAAGCATGTGACTAACCTTAAAAAAACATACCGAAAATTGTACATATTGTACACCTCAAACAAAATAGAATAGCTAACAAGTAATTTTGTTTACCTGTGGACATTTCTGCTGATTTTTTAGGAATAGCCACTCCCTACAATAGCCAAATTCCCTTGAAATTCGAGATCCCAGTAATGTTTTTTAGACTTTGAATGCTAAAATATCACACAGCTGATTTATTGATGCCCTGAATTTTTCACGTCTTCTCTGAACATCTTTTTCCTATTTTCTTTATATTTTTCTGTTTAACAAACACTTTTAAAAAGTAGTGGTGACAATTGCTATCTGGCTTGATTAGAATTCTTGTCCTCCCCAAAATCTCTTTAAGCTTAATTTAAATTGTGTTAAAAACGTCATGGGTTGAAGATGATTTTTTTCCACTAATATTGTCAACTTCTTGGAGGTGCAAATATCTTCATTAAAAGACCAACTTTTAGTGGCAAACTTTTTTCGAGACCAAATCCATTAAGTTTGTCTTAATGATCTTTTCTTGTCTTTCCAACTCTAGACTTTTTCATTTTTAACTAGTACACTTGAAAATTTGAAAATTTAAAACTTAAGTAATACAGTACTACTGTATTAATTGCATGCTTGCTTAAAAATCAATAAACTCTGGTAAAAATTAGCAGTTATGTTGCCATAATAGAGTACATATAGAGCACATATAGATTTTTGATATGTCAGAATATATACAGAAAAATTTTGTGGGAAATTCCCATTGATTTTCGTAGTGAAATTCTATGGGAAATTTAAAAGCAATTAAATTAGAATTTTAATTGCTTTTTAATAAATTTTTATGAAAAAGTCGATTTTTAGAAGTTGTCAAAATGATCTGTGCCACCACTAAATATTTTTCTTCCAGTGTAGTTTTTTTACCTGTAATACTTTACTTAATGAAAAATAACATACTAAAAGTTCTTGAATGAATTGTGAAAAACTGACAGTGAAATCTTGAAAAATGTTGAAAAGTAGGCGCAAAAACTATAATTAACTTAAAATAGGTAACTGTGCTACTCCTAAATAATGTTTGATTGTCCTAAAATTTTACAACAATTATTTTTTAATTTTTATGTACCTCACATAAAAAGTTTAACTCAAAATTAAAAAAAAAAATGCGGAAACGGGACACTCTAGCCTTACATATTGTATGAATGAGCTTTAGTTAAGAAAAGAAAATGCTCTAGATTGTTTATATTAGAGAAACTGCATAAAAGAGGAAGGCTAAAACTTGATGATGATGATAATGATGACGATGATGGTGGTAATGATAATTATGATAATCATGTTGATGATAATAA